ATAATGTGTGGTGACCGAATCTGAATTAAAAATTTCGCGCTGAAAAAAATTAACAACGGCGAGAAATCGCATTTGAATAATTCGAATGTGAAAAAAAAAATTCAATCGAGAAATTCGTTAAACATAGGCAACCATGTGCACGTTTACTTCTTTTTCTGGTACTTGATAGTTCTGCTTGGAATTTTAGTTAGAGGATTGCTAGAAGATGGTGGCTTGGTAGGAAGGTGAGACGCTTCACTTTTGGTCTGTTTGTTGTGAGTGTAAGCACGTGGTGAGTTAGCTAGGTTAAGTTTAGTTGGTTTGGTAGTTAATAAAAAAGGAGAAAGCGTTTGTTTAACGAAAATTAATCGTAACGGCGACGGTGCTACAGTTTTCCAAATAGGCGAATTTTCGACCGACGCTAACACGTGTGAAAATTTGTTTTATTGTTTGTAAATTCACAGTCTATGTTAGGAGTTTAATCGTTAACTAGTTCTAACACAATTTAACAATCAGGAATTTGTTTAGATAAACACTTTCTAGGAGATTTCATGAAATTCACTTAGTGAGGACTCACTCTTTGTTTACCGAATTATGAATCAGGATTCTGGATGCATATACTTAAGTGTTAAATTATAACACTTCTCAATTCCTCACGCAAGATTTCTAATCGTTCATTTACAGCAGTTAAATCAATCTAACGTTGTCCCACTCTGGGAAAAGGGCCGTGAAAGTACGGTAGAATTCATAATATCGTGGACTGAGCCACGGGGGATTATAAATTTTTCCCTTTAGGGCGTTATCATCGTTATTATCATCATATCATCATCAGTATCATCACATTACCGAGATATTTTCTCGCAACGTGGAAAGCTATATCACTGAGACGCATTTTCTCGCAAAGTGAAAAATTACATCCTCGAGAAGCTTTTCTCGCAACGCCTGATACATTTTGTTTTGTTTATTTATCATGTGTAGAGAGCGGATTTTATGAAATTTGCATATCCATTATTTTTTGCATATAAGTCTTGATATTTAATATGTGAACGAATCATGCTAATTAAAAATGAATACAGCTATAAAAAAATTGCATATTTGCATATATTTTCCTTCTGCTGCATATTTCAGGTATCGGGTGCATATTTTGCATTTTTATCAATTTTTGTTCTAATTTGAAAAAAAGAATAATTGTCATTCTATCGGCATTTATTGTAGTCCTAATTTTAAGTGGTTTTTATGACAAGATACTAAACGTTATCACCTCGTTATTACTCCACGATGGACAATATGAGTTAAATAACAAAGTACGGCCTTGCAAAGAAAGCGGCCACGTTCTTATTTATGGCTAGGGATTGACTTCATTGTCCCCATCGCCAACTTCGACACAATGGACCTATCATAAAAACCATTTTAAACTGGGAAGACTATGTCTAGAAAGTCGAAATTTCATTAATCGTATAGCAAATATTTTCCTGAGCTTCAAATAACTAGAAAAGGTTTGGGTTTTATGGTAGTTTGGAGAAACCACTGGGTATTAAACCATTCTTCCAGGGAAATTCGCGCCCTAATTACTTTTGGAAATACGTTCATTCCCAATATTTTTGTTCGTTACTTCAGTGTATTAATGGTATGTTTTTTGGTGGTCAAAGCATTTAAAGCGATACAGGTGTGTCAATATGTCCAAGATAACTTAAATTAATTTATGGATTAAACGTTTTCCTGAACTTATTCTTCAAAAAGTATTTTTACATCTGTGGACGTAGTAGGTACGCAGTTTTTCTATTTACAAATACATACTTTAGAATAACTTTTTGTTAGAATATTTCGAAAAATATTTAAAAATAAATTGTTACCAAAATAGAAATTAAATAGTCGATTACTACTATCTTTTGGTTTGTTCTGTTTACATTTATTTTTTAGTATAAGAATATTATCTTTAAAAATGTGATTTATGTATTTTTTCTAATAAAACGTAAGCTCGGTAAACCTGTTTTTGTAATCCGTAAATCAATTTAGTTCGCTTATTAAGCTTTTTTTTTTAATTTTTGGAGCATATGCAACTGCATATATTAAGAAAAGTACTGCATATTTCCATAAATTTGGTGCATATCATATGATCATATTTCCCAAAATTTTGCTGCATATTTTCCGCTCTCTAATCATGTGTTTTGTTTGGGATAAGCTGAGGACAGTCCACGATATAAACTCTCAAAGCTAATGGTTTTAAGTAGCCAGGCACTTGGATCAAGGGATCAATTAACATAATGTAAACTCTTTGTTTGAATCCATGATGAAGTGTGGCATAATTTAACGTCGGGTAAATTCTTTGTTCTGGCAGCGGCCATGTTGAAAGAGTATTTTCAAACCGAGTTTTACAGTTTAAACTGTAGAATCTTATTGAACAAATTAACAACATTGTGGGTCATGTGGGACGTGCATTTTATTCCTTTGATTTAGACCATTACTTGCACAGCGCCACAGGATTGATCACATTGCTGGGAGACATAGTTTTGTCGCATTTTTTTGAAGGACGCATTCGTCCGACGCCATTTTGCACCTCCAAATTGATTGCTATGTGTTATGTGTTTGTTTGGGAAAATGTAAAATGATGGCCCACAATGCAGCTGAATAACTTCACTTTCAGAAATTAACCAATAACTCGAATGGACATAAAATATTAAACTCATGTAATTTTGTTAGCTTTGCAATTTTTCACCTGATACAATTTTTCTCTATCTCACAATTTTAACTTCAGTAATTTTCTTTGTTGTATATTTTAAATTGAACGTAAATTTTCATGGTCTGCAATTTTTAACTTCACGTAATATTTTTACGAAGTTTTATTTCACACCAGATCTTTTGTTTTTTATTAATATTTGCTAGTTTTTTGCTTGTAAATATTTTGTTGATTAATGCTTCCATTATATAATAGGGTTTTCCACTAAAGTTTAAAATCAAATTTTAACTAAACATTCTGAAACAATATCTAAATACATGTACAAAAAACAAATTTGAACTATTTATAAAAAATAATCGCTTTGAAAAAAATTGTCAAAATAATAGAAAAGTGAGAGACCGGCTCAAAGTTGCAGTATTTCGCGGTTAAAAGTGTAACCAATCACTTTGAAGCGATGGCAGCGATGCTGTGTTGCCAAACCTGCTGGTTTATTATATTGAGGTAGGTCAGAGCGTGCACGTGTTTTTGATCAACTTGGCCTGTTCGTTTTATTCCTTAAATATAAACAAATTAAATAGAAAAAATTGGCACGATGGCGAAACAGTGTTTCTTCGTTGGGTGTGATAACAACTCTACAAATAATCCAGAAAAATTATTTCTTACTGTTCCCCAAAAAGTGGATCGGAGGAAGTTATGGTTTGAAGCTGTGGGAAGAACATACATACCTGGGAAAAGTTTGTACTGTTGTGAAGATCATTTTGATGTAAGTATAGTAAATATTTCAAAAATTTGTATGTCGGTATCTACTTGTATCACCTTATTAATAAATTTTCTTTAATAAAGTTGGAAAAGGATGCTGAAAATTGGATTCATTTCAAATTAATGGGTACACGCCTAATGTTAAAAGACAATGTGGTTCCAAGAAGCATAGTGAGGAAAGAAACTTCGTCCCAATTCACACCAACTTCAAGGAAACGTAAGATGGAAACACAACAGCACAGTAGAGGGCTTCGAAGGAAACTGTTTCCTGAACCTACTGTACCTGGTACTTCACAGGATGTAACAGAGGATGTAGAAGAACTGCAATTAAAAACAGTGGCTTCACCATCTGGCATGTTTGTTAGTGCAAAATCGCCAGAAAAAGCAGTTTCTCCTTTAAGAACAAAAAGGAGAACTCTTAGAAAAGCAACTCAGACAAGAGTTAGCACAAAAGATCAGTCATCAATGACCTCAGTTGAAGTGGCAGATAAAAGCACAAACACTCTTCGATCATTATCGTCACAAATATATCAAAGCCCCCACAAACCTATTCAGGGATCATCGACATCATTGTCATCATCCTCCCTTTCACTCCAAAGTGGAAGTGTTTATGAGCCATCATCGGACTCATTGGATGAAACTAATATGATGATATCCAAAGAACTATTGGTGAAAGTGGAAATATTCAAAATTGAAAATAATAGCAGATTTTAACTGGGCTTGCCCAAGTCAGAATTTTTTTTCATCAAATTACTCCAGGAAGAATTAGAAGTTCCTGTAGAACATATTTATATTGTTCTTAAGAAAATACGAACAGATGACCAATTTGTACGATTAGGGACAGATTTTGCATTAAGCACTAGTGGTGTCAGTAATATATTTTCAAAAACATTGCCAAAAATGGCTACAAAACTCAACGAGTTAATTTTTTGGCCTGAGAAAAGTAAAATTCAGCGAGTTCTACCTAGGCAGTTTCAGACGTATTATAAAGATGTTGAAGCAATCATTGATTGCTTCGAAATACAGGTTGAAAGACCTAGTGCAGCTTACCAGCAAGCTTTAACCTGGAGCAATTATAAAACTTGTAACACATGCAAGTATTTAGTGTCGAGGACTCCAAATGGGCTAATTAATTTTATATCAGAAGGGTTTGGAGGTCGCACATCAGATGTAGAAATAATTAAGCAATCAGGGTATTTGACCGTTGTACCTGAAAATGCAACTGTAATGACCGATAGGGGCTTCAAGCAAGTAGCAGGGCTTTTCCAGAAAAAAAAGGTGAATCTAGTCAGACCTCCCAGCGTGACAAGCACCAGAAAAATGACGAAGGATGAGGTACGTCAGTCGAAACTTGTCGCAGCGTTGAGGATCCACATTGAAAGATTAATTCGTAGGATCAGAGAATTTCGAATGTTGGGTCCACATGCTACCACAGATCATAATTTGGTGCCACTTTTGGATCATATTGTAATTGTTGCTTGTGGTTTGATAAATTTGCAAGGTCCATTAATACAATAGTTTTTACATGGTTTTTATTTGTATTTTATTGGAAACAATAAATTAATTGTATAAATAGAAGCATTTAACTTTTTTTTATTGATACTAGGGGATTGGGGTATAACGGGATTTAGATTTATTTATTATTGAAATGAATAAGAAATAATTATGAAATAAATAAGTATAATTATTGAAAACGTCAGTTAATTAAAATTGGAAAAATCGCTTTTTTCCAAAAAGCTTGTGCCTGCTCCATTACATTGTGACAAAAATTTTCATCCAAAGGAATTTCCTTTATAGTCACATTTCTGTCCGTTTCAAAAGATGGAGATGCAACACAAAATAAACCCCATTGTTTTTTATTAAGAAACATTTGCAGCTGCAGTTGTGCATATGGTTTAGGAGTTATTTCACCCTCTGGCGTAATGTAATTTTTTACAGTATTTGTCTTTATTGGACATTTTATTTCAACGCAATATTTATCAGACATTGCATCTGCCGAGGCACCAAATATTGGGTACATATGATTTATGGTCATTCCTACTCTTTCTAATTTAATATTTTTCTTCTCACCTATGACTTTTAAGACATCTTCTTCAAGGTTAAGGCCTCTTTTCATGGCCTTTGTTCCTCTAAATTTTGATGCTGCCAGAACTGCAGCAGTTATAGCTCCATCAACAGTTTTGCAGTGAGCAACTTCATGCAGTTTTGAAGCTGTTATTCTCGCATATCTAACATCAAACCAGGCTTTAGATTGTGACTGCAATATTGTTAAAGTATTTATACTTTTGCAAATTTCACTATTTAAATTATTTTGGCAAAACGATATGAAGTCTTCTGCATCTGGTGCATCAGTCGTTTTTTTATAAGAAAGACATAAATGGTACAACGAAGCTTTCTCCAAAATATTCACTTCACTCTTATACATCTTAGCAAGAATTGAATGACTATCTGATTTTAATGCGGTAGAAATTAATTTGTCCAAAAATGCCGTCCCTTTTGTTGGTAAAGAAGGAACTTGCCGAAAATTAAACAACTCTCTCATTCTTTGCCCTTTTATAGTACTGCCAACTTTAGACAGAGTAGACTTCCTCCAATAACATTCAACAGAAGTCACTGAAGGCTCCAAGGTGCGTCTGTATAACCAGAACAGTAAGGCTACACCATGTTTACAACCACCTGAAAAGTAGACGTAATACATACACTAATACAACATAAAATCATGCATACCTTCACTTGCAGCACAGTCATAACACTTTGAGTCAATTATGCATTGTTCAGACTCATTTATTGTTACTGAAACTTCATAGCCTTTTAGGCGAACTTTATGTTCTGGTGCAATCAAAGCTTTGACAGTACAAATCTCATCGTGTCGTCTCAACTGCACATAACCAACAGCATCGTCGCCGTAAGTTGCACGAGCTCCACTATAACAATGAATAATTACTATCAAACCATTATTACGTTGTACACTTTACCGTTCGGTTTTCACATTTTCAACACCTGGTATCAGAAAATTCACATTTCTTCGATAATACAAATCTATCATTACATCATCAACTACAGGGAGATTGGTAGAAGTAGCTTGCTCATATTCACTTTCCATTGTGACTATTTATTCTGTGCCGTATTTTCCCAGATAATCTTCCTACACAATTTTAAGTTGTAAGTCGCTGTAAAAGGTTTTGGTAAGTGGTAAATATTAAACGGCCAATTCTACTCACCGTCTTTAAACAAACAATGTCAAATAATGGAAACGACTAACTTTTTAAATTATTTTAAGCTTCAATGAGAGCAAATTAAAAAACGTTAACACTAAGATCGACCAAACATAAATAAACCTAACCTATCATAACCCAACAAGAATTCAAGATGGCTAAATACCGATGTCGTCTAACTTTAAAGCAGCGTGAGCGGAGTTGCCACATCGCTACGCTGATCCCATTGGTCAGCGTTACGTACGTCATCATGACGTACGTAATGCACAACTTAACCGCGGGAAAAAATCACTTTAAATTTAACTTTTTTTTTTTTGAGTTATTGAAAAGTAAAAAAAATATTGACCGCATCTTCGCATTTTGTAGACGATATTCTTTCGTATAGTGCATTAAAAAAAAAATCGTGGAATACCCTATTGTCTGATATCCACTCGTAATCTCAGATAAGAATTCTTTGCTGTTTAAAATTTCACTGAAGTGTATGGAGAATGTATTTGTTTATTGCTCTTTTTGAAACTTTGACACTTGTTCAGTTGTAATTTAATATCACTAATATGAGAGTCATAGAAATTGAGGTTAAATAGCACAGAAACACGTAGTGGAAGAGGAGTGCACGGTTCCTAGTCGAGCTCGCGGGATGTATCGCTCCATTTGCACAAAAGACGCAGGTTTGAATAGAAGTAAGAGGCGGTCGAGATGACGTAAGGCTGTCGGCTTCTGTCCATAGCTAGATAGAATCACCGTCGTGGGTAGGAGAACAGCCACAACCAGGAGCCGCAAACTCCGCTTGCACTACAACGTCCCCTATAGGTAATTCTGATGTGTTCTAGAATGAAACTGAAATAGTTCGATCGCCTCACATTATAGCGCTCTGGTGCCGCGGCCGCTGCACAGTTTTTATTAAAATTTTGTGCTCTTGTCGACTGTCATAATTTAAATTTGCCGCCTCACGCCCGTAATAACTTGTATTTGCATCCAGTTACTTTACTTCAGATTTTGCTTTGTTTTTATTAATTAATTTGTGATATTCAAAAACTTGCATTGATTCAAAACGTTTAATTTGACTTCATTCAAAGTTTAGAAAGTTTTTTTTTTTTGTAGCTGAGCATTAAAAAAGTCTTCAACCTGCGCAACTTAGTCGCAACTTTTTTTTTCTTTTTTTTTTGTCAGTGGAGGAATAAATAATTTTGTGTCCTGCTTATATTTGGTATTTTATTTAGCGCTACTTTTCCAATCTTGGGGTCCACCACTTGCATCTGAACGTATTCCTCCACAAAAAAAAAAAACACACACAACGTAGGTTCCATTTTGTTAGACGATCACAGCCAAGGCCAAATTTTAAATTATTCAATTTTTCTCGGGCTTTCAATCTTTTTTCACATGTCAATTTAAGGCGGGATGTTTGGGTTATCACAAACGGTGTTTACTTAACGAAATTAATCAATTTTGGGAGAGGATAAGTAAACAAGTTTTGATGAAGATTTTAACTTTTTAATAGTCCATAATCTTAAAATACAGTGTTACCTTTCACGACTTGGACTTAACATGCCTTTAAAACTTCGGTACAGTTATTTCGGAGACCACTTTTCTAAATTTTCCAACGAAGAGAAGACGACATAAGTAGTAGAGATAGGTGAAAATGTAAAAAGTGCATTCGTCCCCTATGAAGATCTATATATATGTGCTATCTTTTGCGTACAATAAAGTAAATAAAATATTGATAATATTGATCAAACATTTGAACATAGCAACAATTGAATTGAGCCTGGGACTGCTGCAGACGGAACCCAAAATATAGGTAAGTTAAAGCTAGCTACTACCCTCTGTGACATGTTAGCCACTTATGGCTTCACACGACTAATTACATCCCCAACACGAAAAGATAACTGTATTGACAATATATTTACTAATTTTAACAGTAATGAAGACATACAAGCGGATATCTTAAGATGCCATCTGTCAGATCACGATGGTCAAACCGTACAAGTACCATATATGAAGACAACAAAAAATGAAAATAACAAAAAAATATATAGGCCTATAACTAAGAAAGGTAAACTTATTTTTTATAATTTAGTAGAAACTTTGACATGGCATTTCATTAATGACTTAAACATCACCGCTAATTCTAAATTTGACTTATTTATCTCTAAGATTCAAGAACAGTTTCGTATAGCATTCCCGGAAAAAACTTGCATCGTTAAAAATAATAAAGTTTATAAGTGCAATTGGTTCAATATTGAACTTAAAAATATGCGAGATCATTTACAACATTTAAATGAACAATGTAGACTATGCCCACATAACCTTGATTTTCTTAATGAGAGAAAATTATTTCGGAAGAAATATAAACAAAGTATAATTAATGCAAAAATTGCACGTAATGATCACATACTATTTACTTCAAAAAATTCGATTAAACGCATGTGGGAAATCATAGATGAAAATCGACCAAACAAAATAAAAAAGACGATCAATAAGAACACTATTTCACCAGATACATTTAATGATTACTATGTAAATGTAGCTCAGTCTCTACTAGATAACATGAATAAAGTAAATGCAGACCCTATCACCAATATTGTTAATAAAATTAGTCTTCAACCGTTCTCTTTCAAGGAAGTCACTTATATAGAAATACGGGATATTGTTTCCTCACTTAAAAATAGCAGTAGCTATGATATATTTGGGCTAAACACACTACTAGTAAAAAATATCTTAAATATAATTGTTATTCCCTTAACAAAATTAATAAATCATTCTATTAAAGAAAACATATTCCCTGACACCTTAAAGGAAGCCTTGGTGGTACCAATTTTTAAAAAAGGAAACCCAAACGAAGTATCTAACTATCGGCCCATTGCGCTACTTCCAATCCTTTCAAAAGTAATGGAGAAATGCCTGACGAAACAAATAACAGAATACCTGGAAGAAAATAATATGTTTAGTTCGTCTCAATACGGGTTTCGCAAAACACGGAATACCATAACCGCTATCTCAAGCTTAGTAAACAATATACTAGAGACATTTGAAAATCGGGAATTCATGTATACCACCTTCTGTGACCTAAGTAAAGCTTTCGACTGTGTCTCGCATGATATTCTGCTTAAGAAAATAAGGAAATATAACTTTTCAGAAAACAGTATCAAACTACTATCTAGCTACTTGACCAATAGACATCAGACGGTTAAAATCGAAAATGAACTATCATCTAGGCGAGAAATAAAAAATGGAGTACCTCAGGGGTCTGTTTTAGGACCTCTACTATTCCTAATTTATGTTAATGATCTCCCTGACATTGCAAATCGTGAAAAATATATATTATTTGCAGACGACACAACTATATATTGTAAAGATACCAATCTTAATGAAGCTAAACAAGAAATGCGCGAGATACAATCGAAAGCATTAAAGTGGTTCACTGCTAATAAACTAATGCTAAATGCTCAGAAGACAGTTAGTGCCATATTCTCTTTGAGAGATATAGGGAATTCTGAGAATAGTGAAATAAAATTTTTAGGCATGTACTTAGACCCAACTTTAAAATGGGATGCACATATACAATATACATGTGATAAATTGAGAAAAAATATTCATATTTTAAGAAACTTAGCGAACAAAGTATCAAGTAGAGTACTGCGCTGTGCTTATTTTTCACTATGTCAATCTATCTTTTCGTACGGCATCTTATTATGGGGTATGGCTGCAAACAGTCACAGGGTTTTCGGTCTGCAGAGGAAAGCAATCCGAATAATCAGTGGGCTAGGTTACAGGGAAGAGTGTAGAACAGCGTTTCAGCAATATCACATACTTACACTTCCATGCCTTTTTATATTGGAGAGTCTGATGTATGTCAGGGGCAGCTTGAAAGACATCAAAACACATAGCGATATCCACCTCTATAATACACGAAACAAATCTGAGCTATGTACCCCATATTATAGACTAACAAAGTCCCAAAATAGTCCGAATTACATAGCCTTAAAATTCTATAATAAAATTCCCCAATATGTGAAAGTCCTACCTAATAATAAATTCAAACTAACAGTTAAAAACTATCTGTTAAAAAAAGCGCTTTTCACAACTGACGAATTCTTCATGTGCGACATGATAATGTAAATTATCTCTTTCAACCTGTTTCTTTACAGTGTGTATTTGTAGATGTGTATGTGTATCTATTGTTCTTATTTATTATTACTATTTTGTTTTTAAATCTCTAAATTGACATATGTAAAACACTGTAGTGTTGTTAACATGAATAAAGAATTGAATTGAATAAAATACGTATAAGCGGAAGGGAAAACAGTTTGTAGATTACAACATGATGAAAGCGTGGTATTTCTTGAGTTGTATGTTGTTCACACTAATAACAATCGAAACAACAGGAGGTATTAATCTAGGTAACCCAGAAGAGCTAGATCAACTTTTATTTTTAGGACCAGTATCTTCTCGTGGTTGTAAGAAAAATATCCAGTGTGGATCTTTTGGTTACCTTTGTTGACAAAATGAAACTTGCCAGTGCGGTCCGTTTTATGTACTTAACAGTTATGGGGATAAATGTGTTGGAGGTTTACTTAATCTATTGTTTTGTTTGTTTTATAAAAACGTATTTCCTTGTTTTCAGGAATCGGACAAAGATGTCGGTATGATGAACAGTGCATTGAAGGAGCCTTTTGTGAATTTCAGATGAGTTGTAGGTGTAAGGATGACTTATATCCTTCTGAAGATGGATTTGCTTGTACAAGTAATTACGTTTTTTAAATACATATTATATTTGTGGATATTTATTTTTACTTTATTCATTTGGTTCATTATTTTATCGCTATATTATAAATAGTCGCTTACATGCAGCACCATTGTTCTCAATTACTGCACTTAATCTTCTAGGTGTGGATTGAACAAGATTTCCGCAATATTCTTATCTTAAATCAGTCCAGCTGTTTCCTATAGCATTAATACGATCTTGTTTATTTTGTGGCCGAAATTTTGGACGGCGCATCCTGTTATGTTCAATGGGATTGAGATGCGCGCTCTTTGAGCGCAATGGCAGAACCTCAGTGATATTTGTTCTCAGCCATGCTTTCACTTGTACAGATATATGTACTGACCAATTATCTTACTAAAATACGAAGCGTCTGTCAGCAAAAACATGAACCATAGACGGTAACATCGCTTCAGACAAAATTCTTATATAAGTAGTCGCATTAAATCTTTCTTCAACAATATATAAGACAGACCTCGCGCACTAATCCGTCCCCACACGTTGACAGAGAAACGTCCAGCTACCTTTTTTGTGTGTATTTCTCTTGAAAACGCATACTTTCGGGACTGTAAATTCTACACGATTTAAATGTTTCCTCATCTGATAATTCAACGCGCAAATTTTTAACCAATGACATGACGGTATAGTTTCAAATTCAGCCAATGTGATTCATTAAAAAAATTTTTAGCGACAAAATATGCTTGTGTCAAGCAGTATTTTTCAGCGAAACTCGGTGCACTGTTATAAGAAAATCAGCAAGACCCTGTCCTGGAAACTCATAGTCTGACCAGCATCCATGCCGCTCAGGATCTTCGGGCGAGTTGAGCTCAGAGGTACCTTCCCCTCTACGTACTGAGTAGAGACTCGAGGGCGAGCTAAGACGCCGCTGTCCACGGTCGATCTTGCTGAGATCGGCCATCCCGCCCTTTGATCGAATTAAAATATAGACACCTTCCCGTGATCTGCCGAGTTGAGGCAGATCTTTCGCTTTCCTGTTGGCAGAGACCATCCGTAAGAGTTCCAAGTCGTGCTTAAACATGGTGGCACCGGCGACCGACCAACGAGGAGGATACTTCGAAAGACCATCCATTGAATATTTATTAATTTTATTTTAACTTAACATTTTTCTTCCAGAATAAATATTTATTTAAGACGTACGACTTTAGTTATCCACGACGAACCGCATACAGATAAAAACATATATAACACTCCTCTTTATGCGTTGGCGGTTAATAAAATGTAGTTACTCTCTCAGTTGACATGCCTCTAGCTTCTGTTAACTTATTTGTCTTCATGCATCGTCCAATGTAGTTTTTTTCCCTTCCAAAAAGAAGAATTGAATCATACTACAGTTGGCAATATTCTCCATTTTAAAAAAATTTTAAACGACGAATTATTTACAAGATAACTTGATGTTATAGAAACGATATCAACGAAAAGTCTATTTAAGTCTACATATGCAGTTGTTGCTTTTCTTCTTTCACTCCAAAAACTATGCGAGCCAAGTTATTCATCAAACCACTTTCATTTGAACTTTCCCAATTAAACCAGCTGCCAAACAAAAAAAAAAAAAAAAAAAACACGCATATAAATCGATTCCTTCGTTTGGGAGCTACGGTGCCACAGACAGACACATACAGAGACAAAGGGGTGAAAGCTCACCTCTCTGTTGCGTCAGGGTTTAATAAAAAATGGCTACATCTCAAATGGAAGTACAACACAATTTACACACAAGTATGTAATATTTGAGTATGAGTATGCAACATTAAACTTCATAAAGAGCCAAAAGTGTTCTAAACATCGCACAAGAAGTAGATATTATATTCCAAACGTTCGTCTCGTAGTATCATAATAGTCTGGGCTAAGTACAGGCAATGGCATCTAGCGTTAAGTGGATTATCGTAAGAATTACCATTGTTGGACGTTCAATAAGTATAGTACAGATGTACGTATATCTAAATATATCACGACCCTAAACAGATCGAAGTTTACAGCTGCCAGCAATGGAAATCCACTAAAGTTCAACGGAGATCATCCAGTAGTGAACTTTATTGTGTTATGTGCATTTTAAATATAGAATCTGATATTTAGCCCAAAAAAATAATGAACAAAGCAAGGAGAAGGCGTAACCCCAGTTACATATTATAGAATCATGAGGTTCATTAGGAAAAATATTTAGTATAAATTTGATCTTTGTATTGTAATTGCTTTCATACAGTTGATGGATGTAATGATAAAAACTACGAATCAGTTAATAATAATCCAATTTACTTTTTAAATAAAATGGGACCATTATAAGTAAATGTCGTCATAACTTAGACAACAATTAAAAATGTATAGTTACTTAACAACTCATATGTTTCGCATAACTCATTGCTCAACCATGTTCTTAAACCAGTATCGAAGAGTATCGCCGGTTAATATAATTTTTTGAATGATAAAGATGAAAAGCGCCACTAATTTTAGTCTCAGTTACAAGTTTTGTGTCATCCACGAGTCTTCTAAAACTCTCAATCTTGTTAAGCTGGCTGCTGTATGTACGAAGTGTACGTTCAGCCCATGTTTGTGGATGTGGTATTTCTCGACGAAATCCTCTTTGCCTTTTGTCTAAATAGTCGATAATGTCATCGTAGTAATTATGTCTGTAGTCGTATAGATATTTATACTGTAGAAATTTTGGCCTGAAACAAAAACCAAATAATTAGAAATGTTAGTTTCCAGAGTGAATGAAATAAGTATAAAAAAAGTTAAAATATGCATTGAACGTTCACTGTTTCTCAAAATTAACTCCTCTTTTCCAAATGACTATTTAATAATTTTAACTTTGTTAAAAACAGGGTGCGCCGTATTTGTTATTTCGAATGACTCCGGATAACATTTGAGAGAGAAGAAGGTGTCTCGCAAACTAGGAAATGTAACCATATTATAGTTTTTCTTTTTCTAATGTACCTTATACGTATATTTATTTGAATTATTTTAACAAAAGAAAGAATTTCTAATTAATCAAATGTTTAGTAGTGTGCACATATTATCGATCAAATAGTCATGCACAGTGTTTTTTTATATAAATTACTACACATATTAAATTGTTATTATGTTGTTAATAGCATAATAACAACTTAATTATCAATTGAGCACAAGAACAGCTCAAAGAAAACGTTTGTCTGCCTTTTTATTCATTAATTTAAAGACTTCAATTCCTTACCTATTGTCTTGTTTCTATATCAATCTTTGCCAATTTTTAATTAACTCGAAGGCGAATGGCTTTAATGAATTTCTTTTAAAGATTTCCCTTTCAAAAAGAAGAACTAAATCACAGTACGAATTGCCATTTTCTCCTTGTTGAAATAAAAATCATTCGATACATTGGTAATCAATTAATGCCTAAACAAAGAATTACCTACTAACGATCTTGGGATTATAGAAACTCCATATGTGGGAAGCCTATTTGAAGTCTACATACGAAGTTATCGCTTTTTCTTCTTTCACCCTCCAACACCATGTCAACTGAGTTATTCATCAAACCCTCGTAATAACCTACCAGATTATGCAGATTTTCAAATAAAAGAAACCGCATTGACATCGGTTCATTAATTTGGGAGCTACGGTGCAACAGAAAGACACATGACATTGGCTGATAATCTTGAAATGATTGAAGTGATATCGTCAAACTAAGAAATAGGTATCTAGATTAAAAATTCTTTCAACTAAAACACATCGCTTCGAAACCTTTCATCCGTTTGGGGGCTACGGTGCCACACATAAATCCACAGACAGATAAAGGGTTCAAAGTTAAAAGTGGCTTAAGTGATTACCATTAAACGTTGCATAGAACCATACCGATCGAACCAGCTTTCAAACAAAAAAGCCCCACTGAAATCACTTCATCTGTTCGGGAGTTACAGTGCCACAGACAGAAACAGGGAAAGGCAGAGAGGTCAAATTTATAACAGCCCTTTTTTTGAATCGGGCGTTAATGAGTTTGCAAAGCAACTAGAGGACGAAAAGTTTAGGAATATTTCATATCTACACCCAGATACACAAAATTTACCTTTTTTGGATCACATAACCAAATTGACGAGCAAATAGGATTTAAAACTTCTGTTTCAACAATCTTGAAACTCTGTTGATAGCCTGTCATAAGCACATTTTTTCAACAATCTTTGAATAATTTTTCATTTGAATTTATTAGAAAACTTTTTTATACAGTCTGTTGTAAATGTCGTATTAGTGTACAACTGTACACCTATAAAACAAAGAACTGGTCGAAGTTTATTTCGACAGAATTTCCCTTGGTGGCTGAAATACAGTCCAACAAATCCCGCTTCTTCGAAAAAAGTGATTTTGCGATTTTTGTTTTGTGATAACGTATATAAAGTAAAAACTAGATGCATAAATAGCACCTTTGCAGCCTTTGTACTGTGGGTACGCAAATTCCAAAGGAACGCTGTCCACACAACTAAACTACAAACAATTTAAAGCAGATAATCAACGGGAAAATGTCTTCACAGTAATAATAACATCGAGTGTTCATGTTTATACTTCAGATACCATGCATCAGCGCCGACGTGTGATTGTATTAAAACAAAGGAGCATGCAATGTGATGGTTCAGTAAGTTTTTTCATAACAAAATTTTGTTATGAAGTCATCAACATAGATTCACAGAGCAGTACAAGAGAAAAACCAACAGCATAAATAACACTCCCGCAGATCCTGCACCGTGAGGGCGCAAAATCCAAAATGACGTCGTCCGCACAAGTACGGACAATTAAAATATATTTCAAGCAGACAACCAACGGGAAAAAATGTCCTCTCAGTAATAATAACATATTTAACTTCAAGTATTTATGAGTATTTTATAAGTCAAAGAATGTTACGTAAACATCTGTTTGATTTGAATGAATTTGTCTCTTTAAAATAGAGGACTAATAAAAGATTAATTAAGTCATAATTGAACAAAATGTTCTGAACACTATTTTATAACGGTTATTTTATCATTATTAAATAAGGACATTCGTATTTTCACATTTTGAACAAAATGGAGTGACTCGGCCGAGTTTGGCATCGAACATGCGACCGCAGGTCAGCGTTCTCCTAAATAACCTCCAGCTAATCGTTTTTGACTAAATTTGGCCGTTTAGGGTAAAAACTCAAAGCAGATTCGTATACATATAGGAGTATATTTTTGTAAACATTTAAATAATTTTGAAATAGAATTCTTTGAAATAACGTTATCAAATTGTTGGTAGGAATAATAATTAGCCAAATTTTGGTTAGCGTTTTACTATCTACTACACGGAAACGGAAGACTACTTTTTTCGTACTGTAGGGATCATGAAATGTCGAGAAAACATAAAAGAAAGTAAAAATGACAAGTAAACTATAACAGAGAAAACTAGAGCCTTTTTTGTAGATAATCCCCGCATTTATACATTTTTTTTAGAGTAGATATGTTGCAAATATTTTGTTAGTACATATACAGTCGTGAAAACTTAATTTTGTTGACTGTAAATATTACATACTTTATTCTTTCATATAGAGAATTCCAAATCACTGTGGAAATAGTCAAGCATTAATAAAGTTAACCTAGGTAATAAAAGCCTAGTTTATCAAAATTGGTGAAACAGTCATGATCATGAAAATGTCAACTTGATGCTCGACTTTAAATTTTCGTCACTGTACATCCACAAAATAACAATTAGATTATACTAGAGAAAACTACAGCTCCTTTTTACTTCTCGAGCGTAAGCGATATCAAGTCCATCGGGCGACTTGCTACTGACATATATTTTTTTTAAGTAATTGCTATTAATATCTACCTGTATAAATTTATGCACGTTTGCTCCCAGCTCTTTAGCTCTTAAAACATTAAAATAACAAAATTTCTTTCGAATCTAAAAATTGTCTATTACATGTTGTCAATATCATCTAAACTTTATTATCACTGACGTTAAAAATGCATAAAACTCTAAAACTTGTTTTCCTTGTTTTGAGATATATAATTTAATGGGAAATATTTGTTTTTGCATTAATTAATGTTTGACGAATTTCGATTTCTTTTTACATAAAGCATTTTTAAATGAAACTCAACATAACAATTAATTAAAACAGTAAGGTTCACTTAAATGCTGTAAAATTATACGAAGATAGCAACCTTACTGTTAGTATTACACTGTAGGTGCATATTAAATTACTTCTTATCTCCACCAAACTATTGAGACGTCTTTACAACATTTTGTTTAGAAAATCTACACTTAATAGTGTAGAATAGGTGTCTCCCATTCCTGTGTGCCTCTCTGTCTGCCGTCTGTCCGAATTTTTATTTGACAGGTAATCTCTGAAACTACTGGACCGATTGTCATCAAATTTTATGTCTATATTTGTAATTTCGTGTAGATGGTAAAACGCTAACCAAAACAACAGCAACAATTTGATGATATCTGCTCATTATATTTCATAATTAACATTATCGATTTTGTGTAAAATAACATACACTTGTACGTGTGGTTTACGAATATATCTTGATTTTCTTTATTATTACTATATTTTTTTATTGTTTAAACCGCCTTCTTCTTTACCAATACAAAAAGTAATGCTCTTATAGAAGGTATAGCTCAGTGGTAGATAGTACAGATCCAGGATAGACGATTTGAAACCAGCGGGCGGGGTATACATTTTTTTTTCATTAGATAAAGTAAATAATAAAATTAATTACTTAAATGCTTCGAAATCTGACAGCGTGACAGCTGTTTTAAAGTTACCACAAGCATGGTAAATTTTTATTTGCTTATCGCCTCTAAAAAAACGAAGACGTCACTTCAAATTTTTCCGAATAAATCCTATAAACTAATCGTCTCCTTTTCGCAAATTAAATCGATTCTGCATGTACGTACTGTACGTCATGTCGATCAGAATCGTCAAAACAAGTTCAAATACACTTCAGAAGTAATGCTTCGAAATTTTGCAGATGTTTTAAAGTTATCATAAGCATTATAAATTTTTAATCAAAATGTATTTAGTTATCTCCTCCGAAAAAATTATGACGTCACCTCAAAATTTTGCCGAATAAATGTTATCAAAAGTGTGAAAAATATGTTGAGTCTATACTTGTGATTTATCTTTCCATTCATCTTTGCTTATACAGGTGACTCAAAAAAAATTAATGAATGAGTCAGTTTATTTTATTAATTGAATCAGTAACTGAACAAACGGTTTAAAGTTATTGTAAACATGGTAAATTGTTAATCAAACTTTATCTGTTTATTCCCCACAAGAATTGATGACGTCATCTCAAAATTTTGCGGAATAAATTCTACCTAAAATTTGCTTTTTAAATTAAAATTTTATTTGTGATTTATTATGGCTTACGGCAATCATATTTTTTAGATTTGCTTATACAGGTAGCTAAAAAAAATAACGAATGAGTTAATTGTCGCGCGATGAATTGTTTGCAACCAACTGACGTAGATTCAAAATTTGCAAAATATGATGAGTTTTTATTTGTGATTTATTATGGCATTCATATATTTTAGATTTGCCTATACAGGTGGCTAAAAAAAATTATGAATGAGTCAGTTTCTGTTACTGATTAAATCAGGAAGGGCTCACTCCATTTTCCGGAACATTTGGGAATACAATACTGTTATTAGAATGTACTCCCAAAAACTTCTACATATTCGA